CGGGTTTCCCATCACGAAGTCACCCATGTGCCATCACCATAATCCCGTGCATTTCCCCCCCCCCACCATTTTTGATCCCATTCCCCACTCCAACCCCACAAAATGTCTCTGGTATATGGTTGTTCATTATTTTTGTTATTTTTTCGCCTGGTCCATTATACTCCTGCTATGAGTGAAATCCTTTGTATTTTTTTAATAAAGCATGGACTTCTCTTCCACCAGATTCTGAAACTCCAGCAATTAAAAATAGATGCTTTTTTTTTTTTTTTTGGTTTAAAAATGTCTGCCTTGTTCACAGCTCCCCACATTTGCATCCTCACCTAGATCCATTTGTCACCCTACTGTATTTTACACTTTCACAGTCTAGGAATGTTAATAACATTACCAAACAAGAGCAAGAGGCAAAACCAAGACAATGTTAACACTGGCTACGACATTATTGGCCACATAACTTTTCACTTACATGTTTATATGCATTTCCTTACAGTGTACTTTGAGAGGAAATAAGGGGCAGTGATACTTCATATTGCTACAGTGTTTTTTTTTTAATAGTCATTGTATTGATTAGTTTATGAGACTTGGGCAAATTTGCTTATATTTGAAATTTGATTAGATTTCTTATCAGTCATTATTGTCTCTGCTGGTATGTTTGTTTGAAAAGAGAAAAATAATATTTGAAACTAAGTCAGAAAACAAAAGGGACTTGTATTTAAGCACAACTTCTTCATTCACATCGTAGTAATTTAATAGGGCTAAGGACTCATCAATTAAGCCACGATATTGGGGATAAATGGAGACTACAAATGTTACAGTAAGATTTAGGACTTTAGCTTTTCATAGTATAATTAATTTAAAGCTTTTGAGTTAAAGTGAATTTGGTCACTACATTTTGTTTTTAAATTTATAAGAGGATCTGAAGATTGGAAAGATTCATAAAGGGTCTAATTCAACTGTAGCCATGATTTTTGAATCACTAGTCAACATTTTGGCCTCATATAATAGCTGTCCTCCATCTTTTAGTAGCAGGGGCTCAAAAATGTTCTAATATGTGGAACATAAGGCCTACGCTCACTCGCCATTTTGGATGATATAGAACTAACGTAATTTTTCTCTGGGAAAGTATTAACTCATTTGGATCCTGAGGTCACCAGCTTTGAATCAGCATGCATAGCCCCTCTCTTGTGAGTGACTAAAGAGGATAGGGCCCTCCCTGGTGGCTCAGTGGGTTAAAGCTCAGCACTGTGAAGCTGGCCACGGCTGCCTTGAGACCACTTCAGTGCATGAGTTCGATTCCCACCCCAGAGGTGCTCCTCATGGCACAGCAGATCTCTCCTGTCTCTTTGGCTGCTCCCCTCAGCGGTGTATTTGTCAGTCTGCCTGTTCTGCTTCCCACTCTTGTCTTTGGATAATCCTTTCACTGCCCCTGCACATCTGGCCTGTATCCCAGTTATGTATGCATAAATGAATAAATATTTTTTTAAAATCTGAAAGGGGGAAGTTGCTGTAAGCACTAAAGCCTCTGTCTGTTAATTTTATGTAGATAAGTTTTTGAAATACTAATTAGGTATTAAAATTTTCAAATAGGTTTGCTGGATTTTTAAGTACACTTTGATTTTCTCAATTAAGTGTGTTAGAAAAGGCAGAAAAAAACTGCCTTTTCCACATTTTGCTCCTCTCAGTTCTTAGCACATGCAAGGCTATGTTAGGACATAGTTTCTCTGTTTCATACTCTGTTTCAACTTAAGTAGAAAGTGTTCTGTGCTGCCCTTTCCCAGCATCTTAAAAGTCTTGTGCATCCTGGTTGGGAGGGTGAAAAGGAGGCGTGGGTGTAGGTAGAAGGAGAAGCTGTTGAAATGAGGGCTTTGAGTTAAACTTCTGTTGATTTGGGATTGTTAGGTTTTGTGTCTTTCTTTAAAAGAAAAAAAACCAAAACACCAAAAAACAGGCAGCTCACTTTTCTACAAGCCTATTTGTGACTGTAAAGCTATTTTAGAGTATATATTCTTTTATATATTGTAAAAGAAATTACCCAACAACAAAATAATTACCTTATTAGCTATGGCAGCCTCCAACCCTCAACCCACATAGTAAGGTGATAGAACTGAGACTGGTTAACCTGGAGAACAGATGTCTAGGCAGAGTTGGGACTACACATCTTTGATATTACCTAAATAAAATTCAGTGTTAAATTCAACTAAGGAATTACTATGGCTTGTTCTCTCTTCTCTTTTACATAAAGAAGAGGCAGATGAGTATAGAGGTGGCATTTAACATGGTACCAAAAAGCACCAAGCCAGATCTAACACTTAAGTTGGATCTGATTTCATTAATTCAAAAACAGAATTTGAGGTATATTTTAGTAGTGGTACATAGATGATTACTAATTTATAAGATGTCTCTTACTAACAATAAAATGAAAGACAGTTTGTGAACTTGAATAAATGAATGAATAATGCTGAAATCCACTAAATTTTCTTTTTTGCTCATGCCAAATTATATTAAGCTAGAGTGTTAACTTGGGGGTGTTTTCTTCTTAATCAATATTAGGATTTTGGTATTTTGAGATATTATACTCTACACATTTTTTTTCCCAGAGAAAGATTGTGATTATGAATTTCAAAATTTTCACTTTTATATATTGAAATAACTTATATTTTACATAATACATACCAGATACACCTGTGAAACCATCACCACACTCAAAATAACAAAAATAATCTGTCACACAATTTCTTTCCAACCATTTGGATGCTTTCCTTGTTACCCACCCACCCCTGTTCCCAGGCAATCAGCTAAAAGGCTGTTCTTGAAAGTTTCTACAATTTTATATTAATTGATTCTACAATACATTCTTGAGTAGCTTTAACTTAGCATAATTATTTTGAGGTTCATCATTTTTTATTGCAAGTAATTCTGAATAGTTTATTAACTACATTTCATGTATCTACTTTCACTTTGACGGACAGTTGAGGTATTTGTAAATTTGAACTGTTACAAAGTTGCTGATAAAGTCTTTTGTTTAGTATACATTTTCATTTCTCTTAGGCAAATATCTAGGAAGGGAATGATTATTTGGTACATCTGTGTTAACTTTCTTAGGAAAAGTGCCAAATTGTATTCTAAAGTGGTTGTATCTTTTCATATTCTCACCAATAGCACATGAGACTTTCACTTGGTTCATGTCCTAGCATTTTCCTAATTAATGATGGTGTGGAACATGTTTTCACCACAAGAGCAATGTGTTCGGGTCATTTGCCCTTTTCTATATTGAATTTTCTTATTGAGATTTACTTCATATATGTATGTATACCATTGGCTTATAAACTATGTGCTTTCAGTAGTATCGCTTAATACTTGGGTAGGTGTTCATACCACATTGCCTCCGCTAAAGTTCTACATAGTATCATTCACCATTCTCAAACTGTGGTCCCCTCTATCGATTCTTCACCCTTCTTCCCTGATAACCATTATTTTGTTGTCAGTGTCTGAGTTATTTGCTTTTTCTTTATTTTTCTGATGATTGAAAGTAGTCATTACTTTTCTCTTTTTGACTTAGCGAAGTTATCTTCGAGTTCAACCATGTTGCAAATTATTACTGAATTTTGAGATTTCTTTCTAAATTATGGATATGAGCTCATTTTCAGACAGTGTGATATGCATGCATTTTCTTTCAGGATGTGGCTTGTCTTTCATGATGCTAACAGTGTCTTGCAAGAGAAATTAGTGATCCTGATGGAAATTTATTACTCTTGTTTCTTATGGACCATGATTTTTTTTTCTTGTCCTCTTTCAGCACATTTTCATAAGATACTCAACATAAATCTTACCAAACATAGATGCCTCAAAACAAGATCAGCTTGTAATTTTTAAAAAATATTATAATAGCTTATTTTTACATCATTTTGTGCCTTTTTCCATCTCATTTGTAATCCCCGTGGGCTTCCCATCACCAAGTCACCCGTGTGCCATCACCATACTGATAGGCAATTTCAGAATAGTAATTGGTTCTAAGGGAGAAATTGTTGTTTCTATATCTATGATCACAAGAGTTAGTTCAGATTACATATTTTGGAGAATCAGCTACCTTGGAAATGGTTTTGGAGGATGAAGAGAATAAGGGGTAAGAGCTTGACATTTAGACTTGAGAACTCATTACATAGATCAGGTGCAGCTTAATGAAATGAGGAAAATCATCATTTGAGGTTAAACATGTCAGATTTGGGGCCCACATTTTGTTGACTGTGTTAAGTGCTTTTGTGTTTATTTGAGATTTGTAAGTGAAAGGTAAATGTATCTTGAAAATGTCAGAAACAGGTCTGAGGTCACAAGGTCTTCTGACTACAATGACAATGTAGTTATCCTCTTGCTTTATTTTATCCTCAAGCCAGGAGAACATACTTGACCTTCACATTAATACATGTGCCTTACGAACTATCATAAATATATCACAGGATTTGCAGGCTTAGATGCCAACAGGGTCCAGACAGGTAACTAAGCTGAGTTATAATAAAAGATAGTGTTAACATATGTTGAGAACTGCTAAGGCCCGTGCTCTCTCTGAACAATTACTCTCTGCTGATCTCCAATAAAATGTGGGCCCAGTATTAACCAGAGGATCTGATTTTTTTTTCCTCTTAGGGGTTTATCAGTCTTGATTTTGTTTGCATCTTTTGATTAATAAATGTTTGACACACTTTGTAGATAACACTGTGTGTGCTTGCTTGCATGCATGCATGTGTGCAAGAGAGAGAGTCTGTCTAGTGGGCATCCTTGGGTAAGAGTAGCACCACGACAGTAAATTTATATGGTAGGAAAAGGGCAGTCACTGTAATAAACACATTGTAACTTTTAAAATGCAGGTTGCTTGGTTTCAACTTGGTGCTTAGTGAATCTAATAGTTAATTTGAGTTTTCATGTGGACCAGGTAATTACAGATGGGAGGGAAGGGAGAAATTGTTCTGTGTAGTTTTTTGCTCACTTATTGAATGTTTTCATTTCAGACAGAGGCAGTTGTAAGTTTTTGAGTGAAACTTTGAACCCAAATGAGAAGAAACCTTCAAGGAACAACTTGTGCTGACGGTGAGTCTACAGACATCTTCTGTGTATATACTATGAGATGTTCTCAACTCAGAGATAGTTGAATGGGTGGCTCGGTTGACAAGGAGTGGTGAGTCTGTCTTCACTAGTAGTTAACCTAAATCCTTCTCATAAAAAGAGAACTCCTACGTTCTTGGCTTTTACTGAGTGTTGAATAATAAATTATAGAGGATGACAGCAGACCAGTTTTGGTCTAACAGCATATTTAATATATGATTACAATTTGATCTCTTTTTTTCAGCTAGGTACATCCCTTTGCCATTTACTCCTTTTTCTCTTACATTCCCATTTTTTAAAAAAGATTTATTTATTATTGATCTGTTTATTTATACATACAAGAATTGGTGTGTAGGTCAGAGGTGCAGAGGGTGAGAGGATTCACCAGAGCAGAGTGGTGAGCAGAACAGGTGGGTCCACTGAAACAGCACTATGAGAGGAAGGGTAAGTGAGGCAGGAGAGGTCTGCTGCAGCATGTGTCACTCCCTGGCCTGGCATCCCAGTCAGTCCCTTGTGATACTAAGTCTAAAGCCCTAGGTCAATAGGGGTCTCTTCCTAGAGATTGTTTTAAGGAGCCTGGGACTGCTGCTGCCATCTCAGACTACTAGCCTGAGGCGATAAAAGAGAGCAGAGGTAAGAGAAGTGCAAAGAGGTAGACTTGCAGTCCATTTACCAGCCCACCCTGCCTGTGGCATCCTTCTTATTAGGTGCAATGACACATTTCCTTCCTACTACCTAAGCATTTTTACCTCTAGATCGTTACTTGCTGCACAAATCATCCTGATTCAATTTGATATCTCCATTTTCTAATTATTCGCTTCTTTTACAGTCTCGTGCTATCTTATTAAAAGCATCAGTGCATATTTACTGGATCGAATTATTTGAACAGTAGATATTTGAATAGCCAATTCACAGAGTCATATTTTTATTTGGACTCACATCTTTTTCTTTAATCACTTAATCCATCTAGCATTATGAATGAAACTTGGGTTTGTATCTAAGATGACTGGTTCATGAAACATTTTCAAATGGTTAGTTCTATTCTAAAAAATGTTGATTGCCTTTTGGCTTTTTTTGTTTAGCAACTGCCTTTGAATCTAATAAATTTTACTTTCATTATTATGAAAATAGTAGTTTACCTTCTATTTTCTATGCTATTTACAGGTATACAGGACATGAATAGTGAGAAACATAATTCAGAACAATTGTATTTGGTTTTGGGGGGTACCTTCATAAAAAGATTCCTTAAAAAATGTGCAGTTAGAACTTAGTTGTGTGCTGGGTTGTGTCTAGTAGGCAGTATCTTGATTCATAGGATGATTCTGTTTTACAGCTCTAAGACAATATTTTTCCCCCACAACTCAAGATATCCATCCATACGCTTTCTGCTACTATAATCTTAAAAAATTCAGGTTAGAACCTCTGTTTCTTCCTAAAAGTTATGGTATTACTTTCAATTAAGAAGGAAAATCACAAATCTTTATAGTAATTCTTAATACTTTATGAATCTCTCAAAAATTATTTAATTACATGTTAGGGAAGAATTCTAACTATTTTCCTTCATGGTTTGATTAAAATCTGAGTAATTGTTTAAGAGCATAGGGAAAGTTGTATGATTTGCTTGACTCATCAGTTGAAATTCAATAATACCATTATTTAGTATTACAAGAAGTTTAAATCCTTAATGTGCTTTTATTTCATAATATATTATGAAAAGTTTGTAGAAATGGAACATGTATCTTGTTCTGAAGCAGCCATGGCAGGCATGTGATCTAAGCTAAATCAGAGTGATGTTAGGATATTTGCTAGGAATTTTGGAATACAGACATTGAGTTTAATTTCAACCTGAAACATCATCAGTAAACTCCTGGTGTTACAGGATAGCCCAGAGTGAACTGGGTCACCTGTCTGGGGGGGCATCACCCACACGATCACAATTTGGTTATAATGCAGGTACACACAGAAGGGTCAATAACAGGTTTATTTACAAAAGAGGAAAGGAATAGGGAACAACTCAGGGAAAGAGAGCGGGATACAAAGTAAGTGGAGTACCTTACGGCTACGCTGACTGAATACACCTAGTCACGTTGTCCAGAGAGCTGTTTCCCGAGCGAGAGCTAGAGATGCAATCACGCCCTATTTATCCTCCAAATGTCCCAGAATTCCTGCTAGCTCCACCCTAGTGTCTTTGCAGTTCTCTCCCTGGCTGCTGGGAGTTGTAGTTTCCAATCACTGGAGTAGGGGGTAGTGTCCAGAAAGCTGGAGTAGGGGGTGGAGTCCATAAGACTGCAGAGTTCCTTTAGGACATCATTCCCCTTAACACTAGCACCTAGTTTCTGTCCAAAGAAAGGAAAGCCAGCTGAATGAAAAGCCAGCACTGAAGGAGTAGAGCTGAGCAAAACCACATCCTGGCCACCTCAGTTGAACAGCTGGATCAAGTCTTCCTTAAAGCTAGTGTACCTCTAGAGTTGTAGTTGTGTGAGCCAGTGCATTCCTGTTTTAATCCAGTTGATTTTAGATTTTATGCTACACATGTATGAAAATATCCTAACTGATCTGTCTTTGTCAGCAATTTAGTAACACTTGAAATGTGAATTAGACTAGTAGTTCTGAGATGGGCGGCAGGTAATGGACTTATTCAAGAAATCAAGTGTTAAGTGTTGAAGTGGTAAACAGATTCATTCTGTGGAGTTCCTTATTAATTGAAAGACAGAAATTTATGTGAATAATCTTATTGATAATCACTTTAAAATCTCATTAACAGATTATGTAAGTTATTATGTAAATAATATTACTAACAGATGTTCAGATTCTATAGGAAAAGTAGTAGCCATCATTTGTAACTATTGGCTCTTTTGTTGAGACCCCTACTGAACCTTTGACCCCTCTAGAGCTGTAAAGCAAACAATTGGAAGGAACTTGGAATCTGACTGACTTAAAAAAAATAATAATGTAAGTTATTATTTTTTTTTCCTAAAAAGGTGTAGAACTATAATCCCTAATTCAAAATCTTGGTGCCATATATGTTTTGGTATTTCAAAGTTTATGGATTTTAGAAAGTTTGCTATAGTACTCATGTGTTTAATGTAATGTCTATTTATTTAAGGAAGGGACAGATGTTTTCTATTAATAATAGTACAAATAATAGTGGTTTGGATTAGTTAAAACACTGGACACAGGCCTCCGTATATTCCAAGATTATCTTAACTATGCAGTAAACTATGTTCATTTTTGCACGTGTGAAATTTTAAACATTAGGTGACTATATCAAGGCTGACACAACAGAAATATCGAGTTGAGATTCTAAACCCATTATTTCTTTGACCTTGAGACCATTAATCAGTGCCTTAATGCCTCTTTAGTATGCTGTACAGCTTAAATTCATCCACTTCTTAACATTAAGAAAATTACTCTTTGTTAAATTTTAATTATTTGACAGTAACTATTTCTAACAAGTTTACAGTTTACTCACTTAGCTTTTCTGAGAAAGCAGTCCTTATTTGTAACTTAAGATGTTTGCTTTACCTTTCTAGATTTCTTATCTCCTGTTTCATTAACCAGGTGGCATTGGTTAGGACTTGTGGAACATTGTTATTACAATGAACATCTTGTCTTGCTCATTAATTTAATGCACCTAATGTTTCACTAAATGCTTAAAATGATTAAGTGTTTATAATGTTTCACTATTGAGCAAAAGCCAGACTTCTAGTATTCTTTATAAGTAAGAGATATTTTACTTAGGTTTTAAGAATTTAAAAAAATGTTTCAACATCTATATAGACTGCATTTTAAAGTGTTCATTATGTCATATCATAATTACTACAAAGAAAAAATTGTTCAACTTTTTTTTAATCTTCAATTTTAATGCCTAGTAGTTTATAAATTTCTTTTAACAAATTCATTTTTATGCATTTAAAAATGTTTACTTGATAATTTCATGACTTTCTTTGTAAGTATTCTTTTTAGAATATTTATGTAGGCCTAGCATGTAGTAGGGGTTCAGTGATTTTATGTTGAATAAGTTCATTTTTATAATTAACTATTGAGGCATCTTGATAGCCTGTTTTTGGGCAAGTGATAGGGAAAATACTATATCAAATTTAGATGTGGAAAAATTTCCAAAAATACATATGTAACGGTATTTTTAAAAAAAGATTTTACTTAATTTTGCATACAAGAACTGGGGTACAGGCCAGAGGTGGGGGGGGGGTGAGTGGATTCCCCAGAGGCAAAATGGGGAGCAGAACATGAAGGTCTACTGAAATACAGTGCTGAGCATCAGGCAAAACAGGAAAGGTATGCTGTGCCATGTGGGTTAGCTGTTTGGCCAGGGGTCAAACTCATGCTGCAGTGGCTGCAGATAGCTTCACAAGTGCAATTTTTACCCCTTGAGCCACAAGGGAGGTCCCTACATTTGTAGTATTAACAGCTCTGTCTCATTTCCTAGTCATGGTGTTAATTCCTGATTGTATCATTTCCCATTCTGACTTGATGTCATCTTCCTATGGTCACCAGCCTGGTAGGTTTAGTTATTTAATTAAAACATGACACAAATAGACAGTCAATAGGAATAATTTATCCAAATATGAGAGGAGGATATGTGTACATTATAGAAAATTACTAAAATACAAAAGTAGAATAGGATTTTCATTCAAATTTTGCCCAGGGTCCTCACTTCGACGGCTTAAAGTGCAGCACTGTGAAGCATTGTGCAGCTGCTGCAGCATGAGTTTGGATTCCCTGTCAGGAAGCTGACCCATGTGGCTTAGCAGACCTCTCCTGACCTGCCCTGCTGCTCTCAGCAGTGTATTTCAGTCGATCTGCCTGTTCTCCTCCCCACTCTGTCTCTGGTGAGTCCTCTCACCTTTCACACCTCTGGCCTCTTGTATGCATAAATAAATAAATAACTCAAAACCCAAATACTGCCCATGAATTTTCTATTAATATCTATAAAGAAAGAACTGATTTTTGGGGAATGGGATTAA